CTTTCCCTGTCTGCACTGGCACCCACGCTAGCGCCCATTGCATTCATGCCTGCAATGGGCTTTCCTCCTAGTGGATATATAAAACATAATAAACATGTTATGACCACCACTAGGCGACAGGGTATTTTACAGGAGCTTGGAACCCTAGAGACAATAGGGACTAGGATCCCGAAACCTTGAGCAGTCACCTATTAGAACTATAATTAGGAGGAAATAAAGATTACAACAATTCTTTGCGTAAGACTGAGTGAAATTGGCAGTCAAAAATAATATGATATATTGAGTCCACGGATTTTAAAGGACAAGAACATAACCTTTCACGAGGGTGGATTTTATTAAACCGACCTGAGAGTTCTTTCGAAGGGAACACATTTCGTCGGGCTAGCGTAAAGGCTCTACAGCGTGAAGGCTGGACTAAGTTGTGAAGATAGTGGGCCATCTGGCCATATTGTATTGGGAGATTCTAAGCTGAGTTAGTGTGAGCTAGCTCACAGCTTTTTAGCCTCCAGTTCACACATTTTTGTATCGGATCAGGAAGGATGGTGTGTATATGTTTATTTATTTATTATTTAATTTATACCCCGCCGTCTCCGCGAGCGAGCTCAGGGCGGCTTACATATTTGGTCTGTAAATGACCATTCATTCACATAAAAACAGTTTAAAATTCAATTACAATAAAACTCGTGTATACATGCGTGTATGCATATGTATATATGTGTGTGTGTGTTGTTGTTGTTCAGTCACACAGTTGAGTCCGACTCTTCGGGACCCCATGGGCCACATCACACCAGGCCCTCCTGTCTTCTGTCGTCCTCTGGAGTTTGCTAATTTCATGTTTGCTGCATTGATAGCACTGTCTGACCATCTCATCCTTTGCCGTCCCCTCCTTCTTTGACCTTCAGTCTTTCCCAGCATCAGGGTCTTCTCCAGTGAGGGCTCCCTTCTCATTGGGCGGCCAAAGTATTTGCGCTTCAGCTTGAGTACCTGGCCTTCCAGGGAACAGTCAGGGGTTGATTTCTTTTAGGATGGACTGATTTCATCTCCTTGCAGTCCAAGGGACTCTCAAGAGTCTTCTCCAGCACCATAATACACACATAATATATATGTGTGTATGTGTATGTGTGTGTCATTGTTCCCTCTAAGTTGAGTTAGTGTGAGCTGGCTCGCAGTTTTTTAGCCTCCGGCTCACAGATTTTTGTCTTAGCTCAGGAAGGAAAGATGGCTCCAAAGCAAACTAATTTATGCAGTAGCCTAATTGCTGGCTCACAACTTTAATGCCAGGAGCTCACAAGGTAGAATTTTTGCCCACAAGACTCCACAGCTTAGAGGGAGCATTGGTGTGTGTTTGTATATGTATATATGTTTGTGTGTATATAGATATATGTGTATATGTATGTTTGTGTGTGTGTGTGCGTGTAAATAGTACGGAATTTAAGGATTGCCCCATCTCTGAGTTACAGGGCCCTGAGTGATGAACAGCAATAAAATAAAATATATCATAAACAACTGGTGAAAATATAATAAACACATCATTACATTATTTATTATTTATTTATTTTTGTAGAACAAAGTTCAAGTCCAGTGGGGGCATCTTTAAGACCAGCAAAGTTTTATTCAAGGGACAAGCTTTCATCGTGCAAATGCACCTCTTCGGAATGATGTCCTTATTTACAGGACTTATCGTCCGCCTTTCTCACTGAGACTCAAGGTGAGTCAAGAAGACAATCGTCAGGATGGGACATTCAGTGGACAATGAGACAGGATTTGGGTTGTAGAACCAGCCAGAAATCTAAAAACAGAACTAAAGCAGAGCATATGTGTTAACACAACTTATTTATTTATTTATTTATTAAACTTATGAATCGCCCAGTCCAATAAAAACATCAGAGCATAGCACAAAAGAGAAAATAATACTAGTACCACAAATCTAAAGGAAACAGATGCCGAATTTCATAGTTACTTACTTCCCAGATTCAGACTGCCGACTACCTAGTGGATGGGGCGAAGGGGGGAGCAGGGCAGTACAGAAAGCAAAGGAGGGTGCCATCCAGAATGAAACCTGTCGCCATCCTCAACCAAAAGCCTGGCAGAACATCTTTGCCATGCAAGCCCTGCGGAATTGCATAAAATCCTGCAGGACCTTGGTGGTGTTTGGCAGAGTGTTCCACTAGGTTGGGGCCAGGACAGCCGGGTATCTTTGGGGCCAGTGACCACCGGTAGATTACTATCCAGAGAGCACAATCCTCCCCTGGGGACACACCGGAGGAGATGGTCCTGTAGATACTTCATTTACTTCAGTCATACCCTGCCTTTCTCCCCCCAATGGACACCCAGAGCCGCTGACATCATTCTGCTCTGCTCTGTTTTAGCCTTACGACAGCCTTGTGAGATAGGCGAGGCTGAGAGAGTGTGACTGGAGGTCTCCCTGTGAGCTTTCATGGTAGACGTGGGGATTCAGGTTCTCAGTAATAAGACACTGGTGTGGCAGGGTTAGTACAAGGTAGCAGGTGATGGTGGGACATTGGAATTGAGAAAAATGCAGCGACTGTTCATGGGGAGCCGTTGCAATTCTACAAAATGCAAGCCTGTTCAATATTTATTATAATTATTAGTTACAAAATTTGTAACCCATCTTTTTGCCCCTGCAATGGCCACCAAAACATGATAAAAATCAATGCCCCCTCCCAAACACACATCATTAAAACAATTGAAAACAGAGTTAAAGTACATACAAAACATAAAGACAGCAACTAAAACATTGGTTACGTAGGAGGGATCATTGAGGGCATGCTGAACTGAAAAAAAAATGTCTTCACCTGTTGCTGGAAGACAGCAACAGAATGGGGCAAAGAAATCTCCCCAGAGAGCTCCTGAGCATCTTCTTCCCATGTTCCATGATCCAGATAACATCTGTAATGGGGGAGTAAGTTTTGCTAAGATGCTTAACACGTGTAATAGTTTCACTGTTACTGTAGATCAGATACTCCCACACATGCAATACTTACCACATATAATAGTTTTGTCCCATCTGATGAAGGGAGCTGTGCCTTTTGAAAGCTCATACTTCCAACATCTTTTTGGTCTCTAAGTTCTCGAATCCAGCAGTTAATGCATATAAGGTGTTAAGAGATGCTAGGTCATCAAGGAGGGGTAGCAGGTACTTTGACACTTGGGGGCACACATAAAACTGCCTGTATTTACGCTGATAGCAGTCCCTTCACCGTTTCAAATGTAGTAAACTTGACCCCAGTGGGAAAGGCCATTCACTGAAATCCTCCCTACATGTTACAAAGTCCCTGGGTTGTGCCTATGTGCATTACAAGGACTTTGCATTAGACACCTGAGTTCTCCTCTGGGAACTCAATTTCCAGGCACGCAGGGGCCCAATTTGGGAGAGGAAGAATGCCTGTACTTTCCCCCCCAACCTGAA